AGTACATGGATATGAATTTAAATAAAAATGATATACGTATATATATAAATGCATGCGAGAAAACACGAAAAGCCGCCGACTTTAAAAAAATCAACATTTTCTAGAACGTTCCGTCCGTATAAACGATATTTATTTTATTACGAAACGGGGAGGAGGGAGGGAGGGAGGTTTCCTCTCTCTTTTTTTTTCCAAACTTGTTTTCAAATCGTTTGTTCTTGTATTATTTGTCTTGTCGGTTTTGTTTGTTTTTAGTTTTTTTTTCTTTTTTTCCGACAGTTGGTACTTGTGATATGGTTTCAATCAGGTTTTATCATTTCAAAAAAAAATTCCAAATTTTTTCCGTTATTATTAACCCTTCCTTAATTATCTCGATGTTAAATAATAAATCAATCGTTTTTTTTTATTGGGGGTGGGTGAAGAGGGGGTGGAAGAAAATACCGTTTTTTTGAAAAAATAATAATAATAGTAATAATAATGGCCGTAAAGCCGAGTTTTATTTATTTATTTTGAAAATCGAAATCACTTGTTGATTGAAAAACTCAGCACGAAACTGCAGAAAATGATGAATGACCACAAAAAAAAAAAAAAAATAATAATAATAATAATAATAATAATAATAATAATAATAATAATAATCATAATAAACAAACAAACAAAACAAAACGCAATCTTTGATATTTGTTTGTTGTCCGCCAAATATTCTCGCCATTTAAAAAAAAAAAAAAACGGTATGGCCACTGCTCGATCAAATTCTAAACGAAAGAAATTAAAAAAAAAAGAGAGAGAGAGAGAGAGAGAGAGAGAGAGAAAGAGAAAAAGCAGAAGAAAAAAAAAAAGAAAAACACTTGAAGTATAACGTTTTTATTCCCTTCGAAAATAAATAAAACAACAAACAAAAGGTCAGATAAGAAAAGATAAAATAAAAATTGGGGGGGGAAATAGAAAAAAAAAAAAAAAAACTAATAATGATGATGATAATGACGTAAGGGATCCGGACAAATTTTCTTTTTTCTTTTCTTTTGCCTTAACCGGGAGGTAGGGGGAGGGGAGGGTCGTCTTAAAGAAAACCTAAAGAAATTCATAACACTTGAAATTGTGTGTACTTAAGGGTTAAATTTTTATTAAGCCATCTTAAGCGCCGTAGACGGGGGAAAAAGAAAAAAGAAAAAGAAAAGAAGAAAGAAAAGAAGAAAGAAAAAAAAAGAAAGAGAAAAAAAACAATTAACGAATGGGAAGGAAAAAAAAAAAAGAAAAAAAAAATGTACTCGAGGGTGATAAGAAAGAAAGAAAGAAAGAAAACTAAAAATCTTGATAAAGTTCTTAAAAGGAAAAAACCCCCGGCCCTCCTCCTCCTCCTACTTCTCTTCTTCCCCTCGAAAAGTGAGAGAGAGAGAGAGAATTGAAATAGAAAGTGTATAAAACAGAGACGGAATAAGAATAAGGTCAATAATATAAATAGAAAATTCGTCCCTCTTGAAGAGGAAAAAAAAAAAAATCCACCCCATAGATTTTTGAACCCTTAGTTAAGGCCATAATTCACATTCTTCCTTTTTTTCCCTCCGCCCTTGTGGCACCTTCTTCAACATTCTAAGGGATTTTCCACCGATTCTCTTTCTCTCTCTTTCTTTATTTTCTTCCCCCCCAAAAAAAAGAAAAGAGAGAGAAAAACTTGGAAGAAAAAATGTAACCGCGACGTAACAACAACAACAAACGGGTTTAAATGATAATTTTTTTTCTTTTTTTTTTCACTTATAAATTCAATACGTCTGGAATTTTTCCAGATGGAAAACCAATCGGAAAATCTCAAATTTATGACGTAAACATAACGAGAAAAACAAATCGGAGAACGAACGAACGTTAATAAAAATTTTATAATAAATATAAACAAACGTATGAAAAATTCCAGTGTGAATTACCTGGAATTTTCTTTTCTCCAAAATTTACTATTAAGAAAACAATTTTTCTTCTGGAGTTTTAAAAATACCATTTTCCCGTATTAATTTTTTTAATAGTTATCAAAACGCGATTGTAAAAATCGTTCGATTTTCGGAGAGAGAGAGAGAGAGAGAGAAAATTTTTTTTTTTTTTATTCCAGAGGAAAAGAAATTCATTTTAACGCCGCGTAAAAAAATTCCTGGAAATTTTTTTTCGCACGCGTAATTTTATTACGTATAAAAAAAAAATGATTACAAATCTTAGCCTTCCAGGGGGAAAAAACGAATCGTGTGAGATTTTAAACATCGATTCCAGAGTTTGCAATGCGTTTTAACGACGTTCGCGTTTGTTGCTTTTTTTTTTTTTTTGCTGGAATCCCTCCGGGATTAAGTTTGTTTCGTAAAAACAAAACACAAAACAAAAGAGGAAAATTTTTTTTTTTTTTTTATTTACCGCAAATGATTTTTTTTTTTGTTTGTTTGTTTGAAAAGGAAAAAAACGTGGAAGGAGACTCCAGAAAATTTTTTTTCTCTTTTTTTTTGTTTTTAACGAGTTATTTACATTCAAAGGAAATTTTCGGACGCCATTATTTCGCACTTCTTAGTTATTTATCCCTTGAATTTGTTTCGATGGATTAAATTCCAAAACGGTTAACGTCGACCACCGACCCCCGCCTCCCGCCCCCACTCCGCCTCAAATATTTAAACTATGACGTATTAAACTTGAGAATGATGGCGTTCGATTACCTGTGACGTAACGAAACAACGATTCCACGTTTTGTTCTTAAAAAAAAAAAAACGTTATTGACGCCATTTTGTTTTCCGCGTAAATTTTTTTCCTCGGTTTTTTTACTCTGTGATTTTCATAAGTTTAAGTGAAAATTTTCCCTCCATTTTATTATTATTTAAAATAAAAATAAAAAAAGAATTGAAGTGTTTTTGAAAAAATAATAATTTTTTTTTTTTTTTTAAATTCGTTTTTAATGATTTTAAATTGGGGAGAGGGAGAGGGAAGTAGCGGGGGGTAGAGGATAAAAAATGGGAGGAAAATTTTGTTTTCGATTGTGTAGAGGGGAAGGGGGAGCAACGACTAAAAAAAAAGAAATCACGATAAAATTTATTTCGCATAAGTTTAAAACGAACGTAAAAAACGTAAAAACGTGTAAATAGATGATTTCAATTTTTCAAAAAAAATTTCTTTATATGATGTTTTTATACTATTATTATTATTATTATTATTATTGTTGTTGTTTTTCTTTCTTTTTTTTTTTTGACAAAACTTTTGACTTTTTTTTTTGAGGGTTAAATTTCGTGACTCCGTACAACACTTCACGTTTTTTATTTTTGGTTCTACCTTCGTTCGTTTTGACTCCTCTTTCCTCTTTTTTTCTTTCCTTCCGCTCTCTCTCTCTCTCTCTTTCTCTTTCTTTTTTTTTTTAACTTTCTCCCCTTTCGATTCTTTTCTCAAATTTCACGTTATGCTTCATATATATTCAATTCATGGAGACTTTATATTGTTTTTTAAACTGTTGAAATTGAGTTTTTTTATTTTATTTCTTTTCTTCCCCCTCCCTCCCTCCCCCGTCTCTCTCTCTCTCTCTCTCTCAGTCACATATTTCTTCTTCTATCGATTTCTCTCTTCCTCCCTTTCTTTTTCTTTTTTTTTTTCCACGACGACTTTTGTTTGAATTGCGTTTGAGTTTTCAAAAGTTTATTTACCTTTCTTAGATATTATCACATACACGAATATATATATATAAAAAAAGAAACCGGAAGTACAAACGATTGATTTTTTTCAAACCGTCGTGATTTTTTTTAAGTTTGAGTCGACCTTATTTTTATATATATATATATATTTTTTTTCCCTCTCCCCCTCTCCCCTTCTCTCTTTCTCTCTCGCAACGTTTAAAAAATGAATTTTTATTTCGCCATTATTTTCCCTTCCCCCTCCCTTTTTTTCTCCTTTTCATCCGTAAAACTTTAACGTAATACCCGTGATGATGATGACGATGATAATGATAATGATGACGACGATGATGATGATGATTTTCGTTGTAAAGTCGTAAAAAAAAAAAAAAAAAAAATCAATAATCGATTCGATTTAAAAAAAAAAAAAAAAAACGTGACAATAGAAAAATAATCGTCAAGTTTTTTTTTATTATCGATCATTAAAGGGTTTTTAACACGGGAGTTCAACACGCACAAAATTATTAATTTATTTCGATTTAAAACATTTTTACAATACGTGCGAATAAATAATAATAATAATAATAAAAGAAAAAGAAAGAAATTCCTTCAGGATTTTAAGCAATTAATAAAGGGGAGATCGTGCGAGAGGAGAAAAAAAGAAAATTTTTTTTTTTTTTTTTTTTTTAATCTCTAACTAAAAACTCGTGGCCGGGCACTAGAATCGAAAGGGAGAAGAGAAAATATCGTACGATCGATATATCGATCGATCAGAAATAAAAAGCAGATATGAAAAAAAAAAAAGTAAAAAAATGTTTTTTTTTTTTTTTTTTATGGGGCAGGAAACGAATATTTCGCGGTCAGAATGTTATGATTTATGCGTTTGTGTTTCTTTCTCCCACTTGAAAAGGTTTCGATTTCTTCTGACACTTTTGAATTCGTGTTGTTTTAAATCACCTTTTTAATTTCCGGTGTTTTTCACCGGTGAAAATATATATATATTTCCCATTTTATAAATTGCCATTTTTAATACGGGGAAAAAAAAAAAAAAATTCACGTTGATTTTTACTTTCCTATTGCTAGAAATTTTCCTATTAATTTGTTTGCAAATGAAAATCATAGAGTAATAAAACTTTACAATTTTGGTGTACTGGATTCACTTTTCTGTAAATCGATAAACGGACTTTTTTTTTGACAAAATAACACGGGGGGGGGAGATTTTCAACCTCAGAACATCCGTTCGTTCGTTCGTTCGTTCAGTCATTCATTCAACGATAAAAGTTCAACCGTCGTTTTCGTCAAAGAAAATCCGATAAAGATTGTATTAATGTTCAAAAGAGAGAGAGAGAGAGAGAGAAATCTTTTGTTAGTTAGTCTTGTTCATGGTTGAGTGAGTTTTTTTTTTCCATCGTTCGCCGCCGACGTCGCTACCGTCACCCCCCACAGCCTTCTTCTATATATATATATATGTATTTTCCTCGTGCTATTTTCTTCCTTTCTTTCCACATAACGATTTTCCGAAACGTAATAATTTTCCCGGTCAAAAAAATATTTTTTTTTTTCGAAAAGAAACAACACATCAATGAATTTTATATCTCATCTTGTTATATATAGATATATATAACAAACTAATCGAAAACGATGATGATGATGATGATGATGATGATGATGATGATGATGATGATGGATTTGTAATATTTTTATTTCCCTTACCTGCCCTGTTGTGGTCCCACGTTGCTACTATCAAATGATGAACTTGCCGTTATTGCGTCATCTCTTATAGCACCCGATTCCATTCCCAACGGTGCTATACATTGTGCTATAAAAATAAAAAAATTTTATTTATTTATTCGAAACCAATAATAATAATAATAATAATAATAATTTGCACCGTTAATAAAATTATCATGTAATCATTACGTCTGCGAATAATTAATAAGTAGTAGTAGTTGTAGCAAAAGAAAAAAATAAATAAATAAGATGAGGTAAAAATTTTAATTTAATAATTTTTTTTTTTTTTTTTTAAATCTTTTTATTAAATTTTCTTTTTTTTTGGGGGGGGGGGGGAGAAAAAATTAAAAATAGATGAAGAAGAAAAAAGAAAAAAGGAAAAAAGATAAAAAGCGTTGAAAAAAAAGAAAAACTTGAAAATCGTTTTTTTTTTAGTTTAAATATTAAAATTGAAAAACCTTTAACTTGCCTTTATTTCTTTTTTCACTCAGCGCGTGCCCCCTTTCACCCTTCCCTCACCCTTTCCTCACCCTTTCCCTACCCCCCTCCCCCGAAAAAAGAAAAAATTAATAATAATAATAATTTTTTAAAGGAGGGAACAAAAGAAAAAAAAACCTTATGTTGTTGTATTGTTTGGTTTTTAAAATCCTAATTTTATATTCTTCCACCGTCACCCCCTTCTCCTCCTCCTACATTTCCACAAGGGTGGTTTTTTTTTACCCTTATGTAAATTTTTCTTCTTTTTCTTCTTCTTCCACGTATTTATAATTGCACGTTTTTTTTTTTAATTTTTTTTTTCTTTTGTTGTGTGTGTGTAATCTTCGTATTAAAAAAACTTTTTTTTTTTCTTTTTTTTTTTTTAATTTTCCTCCCTTTTTTCTTTTCTTTCTCCAGTTTTTAAATTATTAGTATATACGTGCGGTAAAAGGTAATAAAAAAAAATTATTATATAAGATATTAATAATAATAAAAAATTAAGGGCGGATGATTTTTAAATCAACCTGGAACATAAAAAAAAAAAAAAAAAAACATGTCGGGGAATCTTATTATATGCATGAATTGCATGCAATGTTCCATGAAAATGTTTTTTTTTTTTTTTTTTTTTCTGACGTTGTCGTCGTCGTCTGTAATTTTTTTTCTTCTTCTTCTTCATCTTCTCGTTGTTGTTTTGTGGTTGTTGTTGTTGTTTTCTATATAATTCGCGTTTAACAAAGAGTAAAAATCATTTCTTTTTTTTTTTCATTTTTTCTCATACTCATCTCATCGTAGAAATAATTACGCGACGCTTAGCCGTAATTTAATTATCAGTAAAAAAAAAAGAAAACGTGTCAAAGGTCAAATCGCAATAAATAACTCAGGAGAGAAAAAAAAAAAATTAAATTAAATTTATTTTTGCGTCCGCGTCGACAAATGACGATCGACAAGTCATTAACTCTTCAATAACGCATAAGATTTATTTATTTATTATTATTATTATTATTATTATTATTATTATTATTATTATTTTTATTTTTTTTTAATTTATCACATTTATTTTATTATTATTATTAAACGTTATTATCACACGCCTATTATTATTATTATTATTATTATTAATAATAATAATAAAAATTTAAATCCCTTTCGATATGATTTTATTATTATTATTTTTTAAAAACCTAGTTTTATTTTTATTTTTATTTTATTTCTCAAGTCGAAATATTAATAATAATAATAATAATAATAATAATAATAATAATAATAATAATGATAATAAAAATTACGTATTAAATTTTTATGAGAAAGAGAAAAGGAGAAAGGAAATGCGTAAAAAAAAACAGATTGAAAATGAAAAGAAAGAAAGAGAGAAAGAAAAAGAAAAAGAAAATGGAGAGAATAAAAAAAAAGAAAATGTATGAATATTATGTGGATTCATAAAAGCCAAACCGAAACGAAAAAGTTTTTTTTTTTTTTTTCTTATAAGGAAGTCATCAAAGGATAAAGTAAGAGAGAGAGAGAGAGAGAGAGAGAGAGAGAGAGAGAGAGAGAGAGAAAAGGAAGAAATTAAAAAAAATAACATATTTTTTTTTTTTTAGGTCGACGTAATTTTTACTTTTAAAAAATTGTATTTCCCACCCTCCTTAATTTTTCATTATGTTGAATTAAATAAGAAAAATTTTTTTTAAAAAATTTCTAGCAGACGACAAAATATATATCGTAAATAATTAATTCGAAATTTTCGTTTTGCAACGCAAAAAAAAAAAAAAAAAAATTTGATGTTAATACACTCGATTCAAAGGAAAAACAACAGGAAAAAAGGAAATGAAAACATAAAATCATTAATTGCCGATTGACACGTGAAAATTTTCCCTTTCTCTCTCTCTCTATTCCCACTCTTCAATTTTTCTTTCATTAATCAGAAAAAGAAAAACCTTTAAAACCTTATAATAGTCGAAAAAAAAAAAATTTTTTTTTAGAAATTCAAAACGGATGTTTTGCAAATGTAAAAGTACAACTTTTATGGGAAACAAAACAGATTGTTATGTGTTTGAATGCCATTAATGTTAACGTTAACGTTGGTAACCACAACAAACGTACGTTCGTCGCGAACAAACAAACAAACAACAAACAGTTAGTTAAAGAATTCGAGAAACGTTCGATAAACCCCCCCCCCTACCCCGTTTTCTACGTTCCTTCACAAATTCTAAACTTAAAATTTTTTTATCGGTTATAAACATAAAAAAAAAAACTCAATTCGACACGTGTATTATTATTAGAATTCACGTGTGCGAGTTTAATTATTTACCGTGGGGGAAAAGGGTGGTGAATTAGTAATAATAATAATAATAATAATAATAATAATAATAAAAATTTTAAAAATGGCACAAACAACAAACGTTGGAGTATTCACTAAATCGCAAACCCTTAATTAAATCGAAAAAAATTTTTTTTTTTTTTTTTTTTTATGGGAGCTGCGGGGAGGTCCTCTTTATTTTACATCTTCATTTCTCATGTTCAAACTTATCATTTTCCATTTCCATAATAATAATAATAATCATGCAATTTATGATAATAAACGACTCGGTGATGGTGGCGGTGGTGGTGGTGGTGGTAGCGGTGGCGGATAAATATTTATGGACCCCAATCACCTATAAGGTCGGAAATAAAAATGGATAGTAAAGGGGAGGGAGGGAAAAGAAGTACTCAATAACGAATGACTCCGGGTCAAAAAAAAAAAAAAAAAAAATTATTATTTCGGGGAGTTTGGGGAGTCCGGGAGAGAGGGGTGGGGAGGGGTAGGGTAAAGGAATCGGTCCCAGCATGCGGGCATCGTAATGGTCATTTAAATATTATTACGTACGCCCGGGAGTGATAAAACCTTTCACATATTTTTTTTTACGGCTAATAAATGTCGTATTAAATTTCTATTAAACGATGAGTTGTTGTTGTTGTTGTTGTCGATTTGGTTGTTACGGTTGTGGTTGTTGTTGTTGTTGTTGTTGTTGTTAGATGCTGATTTCAAGCTTAAATATCAAATTATAATTTTATTGGTATCAGACAGATTAATTTGATTGGATTAATTTTTTTTTTTTTTTTTTCGTGAGGATTATAATAAAAACGCGGCCGTGATTTTCTTATAATACGGATACCCGTGATAACAAATCAAGTTTTTATGTCATTGATATTAATCGTTAAACGTCATCATTATTATTCGATAAAGTACTACTTCCATTGGATGATGAAAAAAAAAAAACCTAAAGAAAAACATTCGATCGGTTTCTATATTTTTTGTATTTTCCGGCCTCATGCAAAAAAAATTCCAGTTTTTATTTTAAGGTTTTATAGTGACGTCATAAGCCCTGTTTTATTCGTAAAAAAAATTTAAGTCGTAAAAATTACGAATGATTACGAGTGTAATTTTTTTTTTCTTTTTTTCCAAAAAACTTTTCCCCGAATCCCTATAAATTGTTTTTTTTTTTTCGTTTATCACGAACCGGAAGTACTTAACATATTAAATTTTGAAAATCTTCGAAATTTTCCGTGGAAAAAGAAAAACGCGATAAAATTTTCACGTTTCATTTTTCCACTAAAAACATATTTTTTAATGAATGACGTCATCATCATCATCATCATCGTCGTATACGATTTAAAACACGTTTAGCCCAAAATTTATTAAAACGATGAAAATCGCAAAACAAAAAAAAGGGAGGTAGGGGGCGAGGGGGGGCGGAAAACTTGATTTTATCACAAATTCGAGATTAAAAAAAAAATATATATATTTTATTACTTACAAAAAAAATAAAATTTAATTAATTTTTGTATCATTCACATTGTTACGTAATAAATTACGTAATTTTTGTTATTATTATTATTATATATATTTTACTCGAATGAAATGAAAAAAACATAATAATAATAATGATAATAATAATAATAATAATAATAATAATAATAATAATAATAATAAATAAAACTAATAAAAAAAAAAACGAAAAAAAATAATTCGATGGGAGGGAAAGAGGGAGGTAGGGATGCTGGTCGGAGGAGAGATTTAAAAGGGGAGGAAGGAGTAAAAAAAAAGTGAAATAAGATAAATGAAAACGTGGAAGGAAGTTAACGAACGACAAGACAAAGTTATATATTTTTCTTTTTCCTTTCGAAAAATATTTAATATTAATTTGTGACGTGAAACGGAAAAAGCAAAAAAAAAAAATTTTTTTTTTTTTTTCCGTTCGTTTCCACGGTGATTTTCGACGTGGAAATAACACGAACACACACACACACACAAAATTTATTTTAATTTACGGAGGGGGGGGAGGTTAAATTAAATTAGGCTCCCGTGCGTACCTGGGAAAAAAAAAATTCAGTAAATCAAACCTAAAAGAGACTAAAAAAAAAAAAAATCAAAGTAATAAATAACGACTGGGAAAAAAAAAAGAAAAAAAAAAAATTAAAAATTCAAATTTTGTCTTCGGGTACTACATTTTTTTTTTTTTTTCATCTTGTCTTCTGCTTTTTTTCCCCCTCCCCCTCCTTCTTTTTCTTCTTCTTCTTGACAAATGGGTTCGATTTTTAAATAAATGTTAAGGTTTCTGAGTTATGTAATTATAATAATAATGATAATTTTAACTTAATTTTCCCTGTCGGGTTTATCTCATACAAAAAAAAATAATAATAATAATTACTCGTTAAAAGTAATTCGACAAGTTTTCTATCTGCTTCCACGTTTTTTAAACATTAATTATTCTTTTAACGTTGTAAATAAACTTTTTTCTTTTTTCTTTTTTTTTTTTTAAGTTTTTCGTTTTCTTTTTCTCCCCTTCCCGAAAAAAAAAGGAAAAAATTTTTACGATGGGATTTTAGGAAGTGACGTAATATGCCAAAACGGAAATGACGAGAGATACTACTACTGCACGATGGACGATTAATTAATGAACCGTGAAAAGAAAAGGAAAGAAAAAAATTATTATTATTACTATTATTTTAACGTCGTTAAACCTTTTTAAAAAAAAAAAAAAAAAAATTTTTTTCTTTTTTTGTTTTGTTTTTTGTTAAGTAACGTGACGCGAGATTCCAGCATGTGATTAAACGGAAACCGTAACGATGATAATCTCTCTTTCTTTCTCTCTCTCTCTCTATCTCTCTCTCTTTCAGTCAATGATTTTTTTTGGTTTTTCGGCGCCAGACTTCCAAAACCCGGGGAGGTTTTTTTTTTTTTTTTTTGGTTTGAATCCCGTCAAACATTTGGGGTTATTATTAAAACAAAAAAAAAACAAAAAAATGTCGTTTCGGAAGGAAAAACAAAAAAAAAACTTGGCATCGTTTTGTTTAAAAAAAAACACGACAAACGAAAAAAAACGTAAACAAACAAACAAAAAATTGAAGTAATGAGTGATTTATTTTTTTGTAAAGGGGTAAATAAATAAATTAATAAAATACCTGAATATTTTATTTGGTGATTTAATCTCGGAGAGGGGAGGAAGGGAGTAAGGAGAGAAAGAGAGAGAGAGAGAGAGAAAAGATACAAATATTTTAAATTTTATTTAAATCGTGTTTGCGATACATGACGAATGTACAAGAGAGAGAAAGAGAGAGAGAGAGAAAATTCGTGTGCCACGGTTGTTACGCACGTAAATAAACCGATTAAACCCCTCGCCCCGTTTTATTCCTTCTTTTCTCCTCTTCCTTAACGCGGGTAAAAAAAAAATTTTTAATTTTTACAACAAACAAACAGAAAATTTACAACAACAACAACAACCAACCAACCAATCAGTGTTTCAGGAAATTGTGACAAAAGTTTAAAAAAAATTATTTAAAAATAATTACGATGAAATTAAACATTAAACATTTCCATAATTCGGTTACAATAATAAATTATTTAAAGTTTTAAACAAAACAAGACAAACCGTTTCGAAACAAAAGGTTTTACGTTTTTTTTTTTTTTTTTTTTTTTTTCGAGAAAATCTACATAATTTTATATATTCATTGTGTTTTCACAATTTTATTAAAATCAAAATTAAAGAAACAAACGAAAGATAATAAATACTGTGATAATAATAATAATAAAACTATCTACTATCGAATACCTTAAAAGATATTTTCTCATCACTCGATTCGAAAATCTTTTTCAATTTTTTTTTTTTTTTTTTTTTTTACTTTCATTCCCCCATTTTCCATTATCAAATCGAGGGAAGGGGAGGAAACGGAAAAAAAAATTTTTTTTTTTCGTTATTTTCAATTGACGAAAATTTAAATTATTATTATTATTATTATTATTATTATTATTATTATTATTATATTATTCGATTTAAATAATCGGATAATCGATATATCGAAATGTTTAAATATTGCACTTTCGATATATATGTATATATTTTATATTGTTTCCATTATTTTCTTTTTTGTAAAAATGAAAGATTTTATTTGTCGTTTTAAAAAAAAAAAAACAAATTGAGAGGGTGGTTGAGAAAATGGAAAAAGAAAAGATGAAAAAAGAAAACGACAGAGTGAGAGAGTGAGAGAGTGAGAGAGTGAGAGAGAGAAAGAGAAAGAGAGAAAAGAAAAAAAAAACTAACTGAGGGAAAGAAACGAAGAGAGAGAGAGAGAGAGAAACAGAGGTTCAAGAACAGATATAAGTAGAGAGAGAGAGAGGGAAAGGTTGTGGTAAAAAAAAGAATCAAAAATAAAACTGATAAAGAGAGAAAGAGAGTGAGAGCGTTGAGAGAGAGAGAGAGAGAGAGAGAGAGAGAAAATGAACAGATGTAATTAATCAGAATAAAAATGATTAATGATAACATAATTGATTGAGGAGTTCGACAACAACAAAAAAAAAAAAAAACAAAAGTAGCCGAAGGGTACCAATAAAAGGGGGAGTAACGTGAGGAGGAGGGAAAGGAGGAGTAGAAGGAGGAAAAGAGGCAAATAACTATCATGCTCCCATTTTCATTTTTTCATTTTTTTTTTCCATGATATTCAAATTGAGTTTTTTTTTTTTTTCGAAAAAACAAAAAAAAAGACAAAGAATTTTTTTTTTGACGCCATTATTAACTTTTAATATTTACTTTTTTTTTTTGTCTATCGACGCTCGAAAATTTTTCCTTTTTTTTTTTTTTTCCTTTTTTTTTCCATTTTTCAAAATCAATTTCGGTTTGCATGAATTGTTGATTCGATATTTCCACATATATATATATAAATTTTTTTCTCTTTTTCCTTTGATACATTTTCACGGGGGCAGGGGGAGAAAGTGGAAATTTTTTTGATACGATAAATTTTTTTTCATTTCCCCGAAATTTTTTTTCTTATCAGTCAGTCAGTCAGTCAGTCAGTCATCATCTTGATAAAAAACCTTTTTAATATTTAATATTCAATGGAAACATTTACTTTTTCCTTTTTTTCCTTTATTTAATTTTTCCGAGTGAATTTAAAAAATAAAAAAATTTTTAAAATGTCGTAAGAAAGTAATCGTTTTATTATTTCTACAAAAAAAAAAAAAAAAATGTGACCCGAGTTATAACTTATACCTTTTACGGTATAAAAAAAAAAGAAAAATATGACGTCTTTTATTATATTTTCAAATAATCGTAAAAACAGAAAGATAGAGAGAGAGAGAGAAGAAAAAGGGGAGAAAAAAAGGAAAAACACCAGTAAACTTGAATTAAATGTCTAGCTTTCGACTAATAAAAAAAATTTTTTTTTTTGCGACTCTTTGTTTCCATATTTTATCATCATCACAAAACAATATTGTTTATAATGCGATTCTTTTAACCGTTTATTTTATATTGGAAAATGATGATGATGATGATGATGATGATGATACGACGGGTAGGGAGGAGGAGGGAAAAAGTAAAAAAAATAAAATAAAAAAAACTTACATGGATCGAATGGAGTGCAAATGTTGAACCATACAAAGCACAAACCGATGAATATCACTAATTGGATATTCATTTTAATTCATGGAATGAAACCATTCATAATCCATTTTCATTCTATACAACTTTTTTTGTTGTATTTCATCTGAAACAAAATAAAATTAAACAAATTATTTATTTATTATCATTATTATCGAATACACGACGGTTTTTTTTTCAAATGTCACGATGAAAAGCTGGAAAAAATGTTTTATTTGTAGGATACGGCACTGAAAGAAAAGTTTTTACTTTTGTTTAAATTTTACACGGACAAAATAGTAGCAGAATGTTTTTTTTTTTTTTTTTTTTTTTTTTTTTGTAAAGATGTGGGAAATTCTCAAGACGCCACAGAAAACTGAGGTCAGGTGTGCGTTAAAGTTTTTTTTTTTTTTTTTCCTGGTAAAAATCCTTCACGTAATATCCCTTGGGAGAAGAAAAGAGTCGGAGGGGAAAAAAAAATTCAGCATTTATATATATATATATATATCGTAGGGAATGATTTGGCAACGTCGGAATTAATATTTAAGTGAAATTTCCAATTATTCGTTATTAATTTTTTTTTTTTTTTTGCGATGTTATATGATTCGAAAACGATTCGAGAAATCGATATATTCGATTATCGAGCATTACCTAGAGAGAGAGAGAATAAAAAGAGAAAAAATGGAAAAAGAGAGAGAGGGGGAGATGAGGGGGGAGAGGGCAGAAACAAAAACTTTATCAATTAGCTTCGTTTTAATTTGTTCGAATAGAATAATTTTTTCAAATTTTTTTTTTTTTTGGCAGGAAAATTTTTTTTTTTTTAGCGAAACGAAATAATATAAAATAAATTCGATCGAACCAACCGAACGCGAATTTTCACATCGTCGTCTCACTCGTTCGTTCTTCGATAATATTTTAAAAACAATTATATCGAAAAATTTTCAAATGAGGAGGGAGAGGAGGTGGAGGGGGAGGGAGAGGAGAATAGGAAACGAGAAAACCGGGAGTAGATTTTAACGCCCTTTTTCTCATTTGTCAGTCAGTTTCCCGGTAGGAAAAACCTCAAATTTTAATTTATTTAGGAAAATTCGCCCTGGGAAAATCAACACAAATCTATGAATTTCAAAGTATTTGTTGTATTTCCGGAATATTAGAATTTCCACGAGTCTTTTTCTCATGTTGTGTCTCTATGGCAACCGGAAATGGACGATGAATTATGCAAAACCTTTTTTTTTTTTTCATTTTTATTTTTTTTCTTTTTTTCCTTTTTTTTGCCTTACTTTTCCTTTTCTTTTACACGTACCTTTCCCCCCCCCTACACTCTCTTGTCTTCTCTTCTACATTAAAATGTCAAAAAGAGAGAAAAAAAATAAAAACATTTTTCTTCTGCTTCTTTTTCTTCTTCTTTTACTTCACAACGATTTTACTCACATACCGATTTTCCTATATTTTCCTCATACGATCAAGACTTTTTATTTTGTTTAACATTTAAATTATTTCATTTAGAAAAAAAGTGAGTGGGAAGGGTAAGGGGTAGGGGGGCAGATGAAGAAAAAGAAAGAAATTTAAAAAAAAAAAAACCTTTTTATGAAATATGAGAAATAATGTAAAAATTTTCTAATTCTCCAGAGAGGGTAGTCACGAAAAAAAAAAAAAAGAAACCCTTAAGCAAGTTAAATTTAATTTTATTATTATTATTATTTTTTATTTCGTTGCAACCGATACCTGATACAAAAGGATTTTTCGTCAAAAAATTTTTCTCTCTCCTTTTCTCTTTCCTTTTTACGGTTATGCAACCCGATATTTCCAGTTAAAATCATTTTCCGTTTTTTTTTGTCTTTTTCTCTAGAACAATATTATTTCATCAACAAACAATCCCGGAGCGATAATTAAAAAAAAATAAATAAATAAATGATAATAATAATAATAATGGGATATTGTAAAGAATAAAAAAAAAAATTAATACGTAACGAAAAGAGAGAGAGAGAGAGGAAAAATTTAAAACGTTGTTAAAAAAAAAAAACTTTTTACTATTTAAACGTTGAAACTTTGTCAAAGGAACATTGTTGTGTCGTGGTTTTAGATTCTCACAATGACAGACACTGCCTTTTCACAATTGTTTGATTTACGATTGTTTTAACTCGTGTAATTAATTTGTGTCCGTCTTTCTCTCTCTCTCTTTCTCCGTGTCTCGCGAGATTTAAAATGTTTCTTTTCTAAACAACAACAACAACAACAAACAACACTCAATTGTTTGTGTGCGTTTTATTTAAAACGCGTTTTGTTAACAAATAAATTATCATTATTATTATTATCATCGTAATTTTGTCAACTGAAATTACAGATCGTAGAATTTTAAAAAAAATAATAATAATAATAATTTTTTGCATTTATGTTTTTTTTTTGAAAATTATGACGTCGTCATCATCATCATCATGAGCTAATGTTGATTTTACAATTTTTCCAAAATATCTTCGGCTCGGCGGGGGAGGGGGGTGAAACTATAAACGCCGCCATTTTGAAACAAATCCTTCATTATCATCACACCTATCCCATCTATATATAGTATTTATTTCTCGGAATATTTTTTTCCAATTATTTCCGACTGGATTTTCTATTCTTTTTTGTTTTGTTTTTCCGCTTGATTCCTTAGAGATTTTCCATAGTTTTCTTTTCTTTTCTTTTTTTTTTTTTTTGATTATCTTTCGTCGTCGGAATTTGTTATTTCAATTTTCACACTTTTACGACTTTTTTTTTCTTTTTCCTTTTTCTGCGTGTCGTTTGCAATGAATCTTTATTTTCATTAAAAACATTAAATTCCATGTTAAAATAAGAAGAATTTTTCCACGCTATTAATTTTTCCTTTTGTTAAATTTAAAACTCTCTCTATCTATCTCTCTATATCTCTCTCTCTTCTTTATAATCCTTTTTACCATTTTCTTTCTCCTACTGCCACTTCTTCTTCTCCTTCTTCTTCTTTACTATTCCGACCTGTTATTTCTATTTAAAAATTTTTTTTTTTTCCTTTCGTTTTATTCTTTTTCTTATGTTGTTGCTGTTGTTGTTGTTATCGTTGTTGTTGCGTGCGCGCACATTCACATACACAAACACGCACACACACACGACTAGATCAACTACTTAATTCGTGTCGGTTTTGCAAATTTAAGTAATAAAAAAAAAGAGACAGAAGATACTATCGAACCGTTTTTTTTTTTTTTGCTCTAATAACTTGCTACCTGATGTTTCTCTCTCTCTCTCTCTCTCTCTCTCTCTCTCACGGTTTTGGTTTAAAGGTATTTAATAAAATTAAAATGATATGTTTACATTTTATCAAAACCAAATCATACAAACACACACGACAATTAGATATATAGATAATAATACAAAAACAAGAAAAATAAAACTGATTTATGTCGAAAAAAAAACTGGTCGTCACTCACTCACTCACCCATTGAGTTATTAACGTGGAAGAAGACGAAGGAAGTTAAGAAAAAAAAAAAATTTATTACCCTATCATTTGTTGTCATTCTATACCTGTACGATTATTTAAAAAAAAAAAATCATGTCAAAAAAAAAAAAATTTTTTTTTAAATAACTCGTTTTTTTATTTATTTATTTATTTACTTTTGTTTATGTATATCTTTATTATTATTATCATTATTATTATTATCATTATTATTATTATTATCATTAAGATTTGCAAAAACCGTTAATTTGAATATTAATATTTGTTGCGAATTTGTTCAGGTTTCTCGTTTGGTCGTCATCGTGTGACACGAAAAAAAAATTTTTCCGAAATGTTTTAATCACGTGACAACCTTTTCCCATTCCTTATTTAAATTTTTATTTTATTACTTTGTATTTAAAAACGAAAACATTACAATTTTAAATTTAAATTTTTTTTTTTTGAAAGAAAGAGTTTAAAAGGTTTTTCTTTTTTCTTTTTTTTTAGTTTTAATTTTAATAATGCGTGTGTGCGTGTGCGTGTGGGATTCCCTCGTTTCCATTTAATTTTTACCTTTTCCTCCTTTTTCGTTGTTTACTTTTAAAAAATTTTTATTTTCCTTTCTAATTAAAACCCCAGCAAAAATTATTTTATGCGTTTAAATAAATTGTTCGACTAGTTTCTCCCTCCCTCCCTCCCTCTCTCTCTCTCTCTGTCTTTCCCTTTTTCTCTCTCTCTCTGTCTTTCCCTTTTTCTCTCTCTCTGTCTTTCCCTTTTTCTCTCTCTCTCTCTCTGTCTTTCCCTTTTTCTCTCTCTCTCTCTCTCTCTTTCTTTGGTTTGTAAACATTTGTACATTTTCATTTTTTTCCAGCGAAAAATAAAGAAAGTT